TGACTTATATTCAAGTCATTAAAGATATGTATAATAGAGTTGTTACTTGTGTTCGAACTGAAGGAGGGTTGACAAAAAATTTTCCTTTTTCAATTAGTTTACATTAGAGATCAGTTTTAAGCCCATATCTTTTTGTTTTAGTTATGAATGCTCATGCTAAACATTTACAGGAGGAAGTACCTTGGTGTATGCTCTTGATTGATGACAGCATTCTCGTGGATAAGACTAGAGAAAAAGCAGGAAAAACTTGAATCATGGAGGTTTACATTGGAGTCTAAAGGCCATCGTTTGAGTAGAACTAAAACTGAATATATGGAATGTAATTTTAGTAGTAGTAGTAGCTCTTTTGATAGTGTAGTATCTATGGGTGATTAAATTATTAAAAGGTGTGAATGCTTTAGATATCTCGAGCCTATTGTTCAAAGGGATGGTGATATAGATGAGGATATTATTAGTAGAATTCAAGTTGGTTGGTTGAAGTGGAGGAATGTTTCGGGCCTATTGTGTAATAGAAAAGTACCGCTTAGACTAAAAAGAAAATTTTATAAGATGGTGTTAAGACCTGCAATGCTCTATGGAGCTAAATCTTGGTCTTTAAAAGAAAAGCATAAAACTAAGTTAAGTGTTGTCGAGATGAGAATGTTTAGGTGGATGAGTGGTTGTACACTTAGAGACAAAATGCGAAATGAATATATCTGTGATAGGGTTGGTGTAGCTCCAGTGGCTGACAAAATTTGAGAGAGTCGTCTTAGATGATTTGGTCACATTAAACGCCGACCATCTGATTATCTGATTATGAGAGTAGATGTTTTAGATTCGACTTATATTAAGAAAGGCAAAGATAAACCTAGAAAGGCTTGGGCATGTTGTATAAAAAATGATCTTAATTTATTAGAATTAAATGAAAATATGACACTCAATAGGACGCAATGGAGAAAAATGAATCATATGACCGACCCCACTTAGTGGGATAAAGGTTTGTTGTTATTTTTGTTGTTGGTGGTGAAATTATTTTGGCCAAGCTTGACAGAATGTAGAGAGACATGTCAGGAGTACAGGTGTCACTATAACCTGAGGACAAAAACACCAATCTCTATGCTTTTGATCCACAAGCTACCTTAGGTGGATTTGAGCGTAGACGTCTTGTGGGTCTATCTTGATTACAATCAAGCAATGATTTTATCATGGTGGTAGTAGATCACTTTCAAGATGTTACACTTTATAACATGCTACGAAATAATAGATAATTCACATATTACTAATTTCTATTTCAAATAAAGTTCATCTTTATGATGTACCCAATACTATCGCTTCAAAGAGGGATATGAAGTTTTTAACTCATTTTTGTAATACTTTATAGGATAAGCTGGGTACAAAGCTTCAGTTCAATTCAATAGCTTATCCTAAGAGAGACATACTGACTGAGATGGTGAATCGTAGCTTATCAAATCTATCAATGTTTTATGAGAATGAATATCATTCTTTTTGAAATAGCTTAAAGGTTGAATCCTCTCACACATTTAGAGTCAATACAAATATTGACATGGGCTTGAGGCTGAACCGGTCCCCAACCGATTCAGCATGAGAAGGCTCGATCCAGCAAGAGTCTGGACTGACTCCCTCCTCCTCTTCCATTTCGTGGGAATTATTTTCCCCATCCCTGTTTTCATTTCTCCCTATCCAGCTTCTATGTATATGTTGTTTGTAGTGTTAGGGTCCAAATTATGTTATTTTTTATTTCAGTTTGTGAGGACAGCCGCTGGCATCCTGTTTTTCCCTCAAGAGCTATATCTGACGGTTAGGGTAGTGCTCCAGCTGCATCCCACTCCGAAGGTGGTGATTATCTACA